ATGTGAAACACATTTCATTTCAATGCCAGTCATTGATAGCACACATGAATGCAGTGTTTATTGCGGTTATTGTTTCACTCGTTATTAGTATTGAATGCTTTTGTTGTGTAAATTGAGTTCAATATCGCATTCAATGTGTTTTAATCGCTAATTATTATCAACACAATCACAACAAATCACATGTAATTAGCGCTGATTTTCACCACTATTTTGAGACACAAAACGTGTTTTAAGTTTTTAAAAGCAAATACAGTACCATTGGATATGAATGACGTGAACCATAGGCAACTTTATGACCAACTATGATCCAGGTATTTGTATGTGATATCTGTCATGTTTTTGTATCCAAAATTCTAAATCTTAATCATTGCCACCATATGTCCTTTAAATCGGTGGTTAATCTGTGTATTAATTGCTGTTTATAATCAAATCAATAGACTATTTGCATCAAGGTGTATTAGCCGTAATTACTGTATGTTATGTAAATTATCATTGCCTCACAAAAAAATATTATTGGGAGTATTGTAGGGAGGAGGGCATACTTTAGATTTCAAATAGTACTAGATCATTTCACTAGTTTCTTATAATTAATCAATTAAGTAATTATAATCTATATTAAATTAATTTAAACTAGTAAGCTAGCTCACTTTTATGCTATAAAGGAGATATTTGTAGGGAATTTGTGTGCATTGAGGGAACGCCCTCCCAGTGAGTGTATGTATGCACTGACTGTCACTTCCAATGATTACGTCATACATAATGCATACACCGATAGACTGTCCGTAAGTGTCGTGCAATGCATTGATTGCATGTCTCACACAAACACTCCTTTGGTTACCACTCATTATCATATGTTTGTCTCAAATGAGTCACAAATTGTTACAACTATTGCCTCACAATCACTCACTTATCACACAATTCACAGTCGATTGTAATGCATGAATGCAAACATAGATGACTAATAATATGTTATCTCTTATCAGATCAAAGCTTAACTTATCAGACAGTACTCTAGTGATTGACAGGTATGGGTCACCTATGAAACGAGTGGACAGTTATGTCAAATGCAGTGCTTTTTATATTTTGAGATAAACATGGGATTCATTGCATTTCACATATCATAAGAGACACTACAGTGGCGTTCAATCTGGAGTGCAAAAAGTTATAAAAGTTGAGCACAACTTTTACAACTTTGAGGACATTTAGTAGCATTTTAATGGATAATATTGAATACCATTGATAAGGGATTGCATATAATTATGGCAAACATGTAATGAATAGATTTGTATTGTTTTTTTGTAAGCAAACAATTGTCTCATATATGAGAGCAATAAAAAGTAGCGTATTATGTATTACCCCACAAATCATTACACAATTCAATACAGTATCCCATAGTACGAGATAGCGTCGGCTCACTGTAGGCACGCTGTACTTGCAGTACGTGAACGCATGACAAGGCTATAGTGGTGTAGACAGTGTGCGGTAGAGGCGTAACCCTCCGACAGACAGTGCTATTGAAAAGGCAACGAATATACTCTATCGTAGTAAACGTTGCGTACAATCTCATGAAACGCTTAGCAAAACAGTATTAACGCGAGTGACGAGTGTATCGACTGTTTGGTGGCAAACGTTGCCAATAGTGTAGTGATTGTAACCGCGATTCACACGATTTAGTCGCTATTTGAATGCCTGTATCGCCGACTGGACACTGATCTGAGTGCCACTCGTGAGCCGCCGTATGTCAGTGTCAGGCGCTGTGGTGTTTGAGTGGTGTTTACCGTCGATGTGGACGATGTAGTGGTGTTTGTGTGGCACTCAATACGCGACGAGTATTTTGTTTACAGTTATTGCCGTTCATTGCGAGTGTATTGTCGTCCCTATGAGTGACCCATTAGAGTGACGGTTACCACCGAAGAAGATCCCAAACGGACTCCTAAACAGTGTTTTTGTGTATGACTCGAGTGGCCACCACTATGGCGAAGATGTCGCGCAGCAGTACCACCACATCGTTGGATGAATACGAGCTCATGTCTGACGCCAAGTATCGGACTTACGTCCAGCAGATCGACAAAGCGTTGAAAGGCTTTGAGTACACGTCTGAGTGGGCGGATCTGGTCAACGCACTCGGCAAACTCAACAAGGTATACATGATTGCACACACGTAGCATGCATACATACATCATTGCTCACACCATTGCCTCCGACCTCCAGGTGCTGTCGAATAACGTCAAATACAGTGTAATCCCGCGTCGGTTCACAGTTGGCCAGCGGTTGGCGCAGACGATGCATCCGGCGCTGCCATCGGGC